GTGCAATAATTATTCTCCTCTCGATCATCTCTCTTATGCCAAATCTTGCAATAATACTTTTTACAATTAGAAAAGAAAAAAACTAAGCCACCTCTCTTAGGCAAAGTCGCTCACCAAGAATAATCAATTCGCAGACCCAGTTGAGACTTCCGTAGTTATTCTGGATCAGCACATCCACTTGTCCAGCATCCTCACGTTGCGAGCGTTGTACCGACAGGGAAGTCAATCCGCATACTGTGTCGACGTGGTATCTTTTTGAGCTGGGGATCACGGCTACTCCGTTCACCTGCCATCGGATACTTGGTTTCGGACATGCCTCGAAGGGCACCTCGACCACAAAACTTTGCCCAGCATGAATCCGATAAGTGTCGACTAGACGAACATTCTTAAGTAAGGCTGGTGCGACTGAAACAAATCGAATTGGCGTAAAATGTAGATAAATAGTCAGTAAATCACATTACACAATATTCAATGCCAGAGGAACAAGAGCGCTGAAGGTTATAGCTCAAAGAGAAAACCAGAAAGTCAGTATTCCCCGATTTTCTTAATTCACAATAAATAATGAAAGGAGCGCAGTAAATATAAAACTAGAGTACAAGCCTCAAAGAGAATTCCATAAATCAGTCGAAAGTATTTTCGAATGCCATCTAAGCAATCAACTGAAAGCTTATACGATTAAGTCATAGGAAGACTATTAACCTAGATACATAACTACTTTTTAAGGGCAGAATCTGTATCTCTCTATTTTATTCTAAAATGGTTAAATGTTCTATGTGAAGCACAAATAGTTTACTGATTTTAAATTAGAGAAATAAACTTGAATATCTATTCTAGAGAAGCTAAATAGATTAACTCTCTCAGTCAGTCAATTTAACACTTGGTTTCGTTGCAGGATACATTAAAGGCTGAGCATTTGGAGTAAAACTCCAGTGAATTAAAAAAGATAATGCTTTGATTTGATGTGTAGTATCATGACTCTGTGTATCAGTGCGTTCCCAATACGGTAGTCTATGTGGAACTAAATAGATGTGACTGCGACAATTACATGTGGAACACCAATCAGGTGGGACTTCCAGTCGATAGTACAGTGTAAGGAGGAATAAATTGAGAAACTTTATGTGGCATGATCTCAAAAATGAAATGTTTAAACACTGGATGGTGTGGCTGAAATGAAGTGTGGCAGAGATTAATTAGTAAAGCATATTGGTCACTGGATTAACGAGCATTAATCGGATCAGAAAATTATTAGCCTCTATACAGAATAAGATAAATACAGAATTGATGAATATATCTCGAAACAATCAGTAGATCTTGAATAATATATTTGATCTCTTTACACAACCTAATGGAATGTAAGGACTAATAGTCGAATTTCATACTGTGAAATGAGTAGGCCTCACGTTTAATGAATCATCGTGGACTAATGTGCCTGCCACACCATCTCATCGGCCCCCGAGCAATATTTGAAACTCGTTCGTAGCGAAACGCTCAATGTCACTAGTAATATTGCTCACTATCGCACCTGTTAGTATTTGTTCAGGCATAGGTATTTATAGTATAACGTTTTTTAGGCATAGTTCAATTGTAGCTATTGGGCCTCAATAAAAGATGATCACCCAACTGTCTAAGAGTTTGCCTATCTGAGTCCACTTATAATTTCAAATGTTTGGCGATTAGTATGAACTTAAAA